CTCCCCTAACTCGAGGCTGGAGGGCTTTCCATGTCCGAGGACATTGGGTGTGCCGGTGGCACCCAGGCTGGCATGGAAGGAGGACTGGGGGGTGGTGGGCCGGGGGATGCCCCGGTTCCTTTTTCCACGCCAGGCTCTCCCCCGCAGACGAGGAGGTGGGCGGACACAAGGGCATGGAGATGTTCGTGCAGCGCCCCGAGTTCAGAGCGCTCAACGTGGGCTTCGCCCTGGATGAGGGTGAGTGGTGGTAGGGCTGGCACGGGGATGTGTCTCCTCTTGGCACGCACCCCCGTACCCCACTGACCCCCTGTCTGTGCCCACCACAGGCCTGGCCAGCCCGTCTGACACTTTCAGCGTCTTCTACGGCGAGAAAAGCCCATGGTGTGAGTAACTGCATGCCCACCGCCTCGTCCCTGGCTCTGCCAGGCGCTGGGGCACTGGTGCCACCCTGGGCTTTCTGCTCAATGCCTCCCTCTTACCCCGCTGCTGCAGGGATAAAGGTGAAGTGCATGGGTAGCCCTGGGCATGGGTCCCGCTTCATCAGCAACACGGCGGCTGAGAAGATGGTAAGAGAGGGGTACAACCCTGTGGACCCCCCCTCCGCCTGCCCTGGGGCTGCCGGACGCCTGCCCACAGGGCTGCTCCTCGCTCACTGCCCTTCCCTCCTCAGCACAAAGTCATCGACTCCTTCCTGGCCTTCAGGGAGAGTGAGAAGCAGAGGTAGGAGACGGGCGGGTGCCTTCGGTTTGTTCCATGGAGCGGGTCCTTGGGATCCCAAGCCAGATTCTGATCCGATGCCGCCACCCCGTGCCTCAGTTTCCCCATTTGGGGGTGGTGGCGAGTGGGGGAGCGCTCCCCCTCCTCCCTGGGTGGCAGAGGGTGACTCTTCCTTGCGTCCCTCGAGGCTCAAGTCCGACTCAAGCCTGACCCTAGGGGACGTCACCTCGCTCAACCTGACCATGCTGGAGGGGGGTGTCTCCTTCAATGTGGTGCCCTCCGAGATGGCGGCCGGCTTCGACA